TTGGCACTTTTCGTGGCAGGCGCAGGACTTTGTGCGGGTTTTGAGAGTGCGATTCTCGTGGCAGGCGCAGGGAATCGTGAGGTTGCGAGGTGTGACGGAGGTGACATTTCGTGGCAGGCGCAGTACTTTGTGCGCGTTAGACGTGTGGACGCGGAAAGATTCGTGGCAGGCGCAGGGAATCGTGAGGTTGTGAGTTGTGGTAGAGGTGAATCTTGCTGTCACATTGGAATTGGCATGTGAGCGGATGTTGTTTGGAGGGGCTGGAATCGCGAAAGTGCTTGGCAGGGCTGCGTGATGTGTGTGCTCCGATGGGTGTTTCCGCTTGACTTTTGGAGGAAGTCTCGTACGAAACGCTCGTTTTGCAGACTTTGACGTGTGAGTCTTGTACGAAACGCTCGCTTTGGAGACTTGACGCGCAACCCTCTGCGGAGATCGTGCGTGTCGAGTGTGCGAATTGCAGGCGAGAGCGCGATTTGTCCCATGCGCGCGCAACCCTCTGCGGAGATCGTGCGTGTCGAGTGCGCGAAATGCAGGCGAGAGTGCGATTAGAGTGTCCTACAAGAGTGTCCGACAAGAGTTCCCTACAAGAGTGACCCACAAGAGTGTCCTACAGAGTGTCCTACAAGAGTGTCCCAGAAGAGTGTTCCACAAGAGTGTCCTACAAGAGTGTCCCACAAGAGTGTCCTACAAGAGTGTCCCACAAGAGTGTCCCGCAAGAGTGTTCCACAAGAGTGTCCCACAAGAGTGTCCTACAAGAAAGTCCCACACGAGTGTCCTACAAGAGTGTCCCACAAGAGTGTCCCACAAGAGTGTCCTATAAGAGTGTCCCACAAGAGTGTCCTACAAGAGTGTCCCACAAGAGTTTGCTACAAGGGTGACCCACAAGAGTGTCCTACAAGAGTGTCCTACAAGAGTGTCCCACAAGAGTGTCCCACAAGAGTGTCCTATAAGAGTGTCCCACAAGAGTGTCCCACAAGAGTGTCCCACAAGAGTTAGTTAAGAGTGTCACACAAGAGTGTCCCACAAGAGTGTCCCACAAGAGTATCCCACAAGAGTGTCCTACAAGAGTGTCCCACAAGAGTGTGCCACAAGAGTGTCCCACAAGAGTGTCCTACAAGAGTGTCCCACAAGAGTTTCCTACAAGAGTGTCCCACAAGAGTGTCCCACAAGAGTGTCCTACAAGAGTGTCGTGTAAGAGTGTCCCACAAGAGGGTCCTGCAAGTGACCCACAAGAGTGTCCTACAAGAGTGTCTCACAAAAGTGTCCCACAAGAGTGTCCTACAAGAGTGTCCCACAAGAGTGTCCTACAAGAGTGTCCCACAAGAGTCCCACAAGAGTGTCCTATAAGAGTGTCCTACAAGAGTGTCTCACAAGAGTGTCCCACAAGAGTGTCCTACAAGAGTGTCCCAAAAGAGTGTCCTACAAGAGTGTCCCACAAGAGTGTCCCACAAGAGTGTCCCACAAGAGTGTCCTACAAGAGTGTCCCACAAGAGTTTCCTACAAGAGTGACCCACAAGAGTGTCCTACAAGCATAGTGTGCCCCGCTCGAACTCGAACTCGAACTCGAACTCGAACTCGAACTCGAACGTACTGAATCTCCCCCCGATGTCAAAATTGTCGTCGATTCGAATTCGACTTGCCGTCGATTCGAACTCGAACTCGAACTCGATCTGGTTCCCCCCCCCCCCCGTGTCAAAAGTGTCGTCGATCTCGAACTCGAACTCGAACTCGAACTGGTCCCCCCTCCAGGTGTCAAAAGCGTCGTCGATTCGAATTTGAACTCGAACAAAAGTACCGTCAAGCCCCTCCCTCTCCACCCCGGTTGCATCGAACGCAATTGGAACACTGCTTGGCCTCTCTCTTACTGGAACAGTTCCTACGAGTCCGGCCCACATTCTCCAAGGGCACACAGAACTCGGCTGCGGTTGCTCTCTCACTGTGTGCAGATTTGAAGTTGCCATCATCTTTGGCACAGAAACATCCGACGCAGTCATTTGGTGTGCCTCATCAACAGCGCTCGCATCTTACAGCTGCTCACCAAAGGGTGAGTCAAGTTGAAATGGCAACACCCTTCTCTAAATTTTACCCCTGCGTGGCCCACAAAAGCGTGAGTCAAGTTGAAATGGCAACATCCTTCTCTAAATTTTACCCTCGGTGGCTCACCAAAGGGTGAGTCAAGTTGAAATGGCAACACCCTTCTCTAAATTTTACCCCTGCATGGCCCACAAAAGGGTGAGCCAAGTTGAAATGGCAACATCCTTCTCTAAATTGTACCCTCGGGTGGCTCACCAAGGGTGAGTCAAGTTGAAATGGCAACATCCTTCTCCAAATTTTACCCTCGGGTGGCTCACCAAAGGGTGAGTCAAGTTGGAAGGGCAACACCCTTCTCTAAATTTTACCCCTGCATGGCCCACAAAAGCATGAGTCAAGTTGAAATGGCAACATCCTTCTCTAAATTTTACCCTCGGGTGGCTCACCAAAGGGTGAGTCAAGTTGGAAGGGCAACACCCTTCTCTAAATTTTACCCCTGCATGGCCCACAAAAGGGTGAGTCAAGTTGAAATGGCAACATCCTTCTCTAAATTTTACCCTCGGGTGGCTCACCAAAGGGTGAGTCAAGTTGGAAGGGCAACGCCCTTCTCTAAATTTTACCCCTGCATGGCCGAGTCAAGTTGAAATGGCAACATCCTTCTCTAAATTTTGCCCTCGGGTGGATCACCAAAGGGTGAGTCAACTTGGGCAACGTCCTTCTCTAAATTTTACCACTGCATGGCCCACAAAGGGGTGAGTCAACTTGGCATCACAACATCCTTCTCTAAATTCTGGCCCTGCATGGCCCACAAAAGGGTGAGTCAAGTTGAAATGGCAACATCCTTCTCTAAATTTTTACCCTCGGGTGGCTCACCAAAGGGTGAGTCAAGTTGGAAGGGCAACACCCTTCTCTAAATTTTACCCCTGCATGGCCCACAAAAGGGTGAGCCAAGTTGAAATGGAAACATCCCTCTCTAAATTTTACCCCTGCATTGCCCACAAAAGGGTGAGTCAAGTTGGAATGACAACTTCCTTCTGTAAAGTTTTCGCCTGCGTAGCCCACACAAAGGGGTGAGTCAAGTTGAACTGGCAACATCCTTCTCTAAATTTTACCAGTGCGTGGCCACAAAAGGGTGAGTCAATTTGGAAGGTGAGGCATCTCATTCGCGTGTATAGATGAGTCACTTTTCGCGAGTACAGACGAGGTGCCGGCCGCAACTATGGTACGGGTAAGTTCTCTTTGCTTCCATGTCTGGGAGTTCCTTGAGACTGGAATTGGTGGTTGAATTGAATTGCTTCAACAATTCACGTCTTCGCACTGGCCACCTGAAATAAATGTGGAGAGAAACAACAGTGTCTTGCTGGCGCTGATCCACCCCTTGGGCTTCACAGCAGCTGTCCCCATGAACCTCTCTTGGGAAAATGGGATCTTTCACTCGAACTCAACTCGAACTCGAACGTCTACAACCCCCCTCCCGCTCAAGCCCGTTTTGTGACTCGAACTCGAACTCGAACGTCTAACCCCC